TTAAACCGAAAACGAAAGATGGGTTAACAAAATAAAAAAAAAAGAGCAAAAAGATAAATAGATAGATAGATGATAGATAGATAGAGATATGAACAAACTAAAAATAGATAGATAGATAAATAAAAAATATATAATAGATAGATAGATATCAGAATGACGAAAAATAGATAGATAGATAGATAGATAGATTGATAGATATTTATAGATAAAAGATATGAACAGACTGTTAAAGATAGATAGATAGATAGATATGAATAGATAGATAGATAGAAAGATATCAGAATGAGATAGATAGATAGATAGATAGATAGATATATGATAATAGATAGATAATCTGATAGATTAGATATGAACAGACTGTTAAAGATAGATAGATAGACAGATATAGATAGATAGATAGATAGATATCCATTATAGATAAGATAGATAGATAGATAGATAGATACAATAGATATATATGAGGAAATAGATCCTTAAATAGATAAATAGATGATAGATAGATAATTATCAGATGAATAAATAGATAGATATCAGGATGGATACTTTTAGATAGATAGATAGATAGATAGATAAATAGATAGATAGATAGATAGATAGATAGATAGAATGAGATATGAACAGACTGTTAAAGATAGATAGATAGATAGATAGATAGATATCCAGGATGAGATAGATAGATAGATAGATAGATAGATAGATAGATAGATAGATAGATAGATAGATATAGAAAATATTTGGCTTAGAAAATATGAACATTCATCAATTAAGCCTATTCTGATAAATATATAGCAGATTACTGACAATATTATTAAAAAATGGTGAAAATTTATTAATAGATAACAGATAGATATTAATCTAACAAAAACATACATCAAAATTTTTACACACACACAAAATATATATATATATATATTTCTTTTAGATATAGAGAGAGAGAAAGACAAAATAGGAGGAGAGAGATAAACGGGGGGAGAAATGAAGGATATAATGTTACATAGATAGATAGAGAACAAGATCTTAGACACATCTGAACAGCATGGGATTGATACATTTTTATATTGCAAATATATAGCATGATGCTGACAATGTTTTGTTTATATAATGAAAATGTATATTCGTTTACGTAGCAATGTTGCGTATCCCTCTGTCTCATTTTTATTTATATATATATATATATATATATATATATATATATATATATATATATATATATATATTTTCTGTGTGTGTGTGTGTGTATAAAAAATGAGAGTGTGACATAGATTTAGAGACAGATAACCTATATGAGATAGAATAGATAAATAGATTTGAACCTAAAACAAAATTTACGTAGTTATAGCTATGTAATATATACACATTTATGTATTTGTATACACACAACAACACTCACAAAACTCGAATATTTAAATTTTGAATATATATATATATATATATATATATATATATATATATATATATATATATATATATATATATGGAAGATAGAAAGTTAGAAAGAGAGAGTTTTAGAGGAAAAATTTTTAGATTAATATTAAGTTCTACTAACAAAAAATATATCCTTAGGTATTTATATTTCACGTATATATATATATATATATATATATATATATATATATATATATATATATATATATATATATTTTTTTAAATAGATAGATGATATTAAAACTTTATCATCAATTTTTAATATTTTCATCTAAAATATATATATATATATATATATATATATATTAAAAATATATTTATATATATATAGTGAGGGAGATAGATAGTTAGATAGAGAGTGAGTCAGAGATATTAGATAGATAGATAGATAGATAGATAGATAGATAGATAGATAGATAGATAGATAGATAGATAGAATAACTGTCACTTTGACGCATGTTTGCAGGTTAATGAACACTCGTTTTCAAAATTGAATCCGCTTCTGTCATTTATTAATAAAACGTTTTCCTTTTTTTTATTCTTCCTTTGCTTATCTTTAAAATTTGAAAATTCCACGACACTTGCATGCATTGCCAATGGTAAATATTGAAATGTTTTCTTACGCAGAAAATAGGAATCCATTTGCAAAAAGACATCAGTGGCAACATTTCATTAAGTCTATTTGCTTTGGTGAGCGCTTTCATTTTCTTATCTCACACACTCACACACTAACATTCACACTTTCTGTGTTTTCTTCTCTTTTTTTTCCATTTTCTATTTCATTAAAATTGTCAGTTTTACATTTACTTCGCACGAACAATAACTGTTCTTAAAGTGTTATAGAGACTTAAGCATGTGATATACGACAAAAGATAACTTCGCTTTACACTCGAGCTGTCGCCATGTTGCTGAAAAATAGATTATAAAACGGATGGGCGATCTGAAGACTTTCTTTAGTCGTTCTGTAAAAGATGTCATCTTGTTATTCAGTAATCCATTCGAAATAGCATTATCATTTTTTTATATTTCAATGGGCCGGATTTTTTTGAAGTCTGATATTTCTAAGATTCAAAGTTTTTTTGCGCGGCCTTGTGGATGATGAATTGGTCTCCGTCTATCACTCCCTTTCCCATAGACAAAAGGCTGCTAGCATCTCGCTGCTCCTCTGCTCTTTCCATGGCAGATGTTCTGGCGAACTACAATCCTTTGTTCTACCAGTGCAGACCTTCAGAGCTTTAACCTTATGCCACATGCACATATGAAAATCATCCTCATCCCCATCTTATTCTTTTGGTAAGGCAGAAGTTTCATTTATACAGCTTCTGTTAAAATCTTGGATTCTTTGAAATGAACTCCTGATCAAATGCTTTATGAAATTATTACATTCTTAACCGCATAAAATTTGAAAAAAACCTTTATCTATACGACACATTATCATAATATATATTATATCCAAAATATAAAAATACAATATCACAATTCATATTTTTTGAGTGGGTCCGAGGCAAGTGGAGTAGTGGTTAGCGTTTCAAAACAAATAAAAAAGCCGAGTTCGACTTACAATCGAATCTCTATCTATAAAAGGCAGGATGTGTGTGTGTGTGTGTGTGTGTGTGTGTGTGTGTAACGAATGCACGGCCGCAATTTTCGACGGATTTGCACCACAATTTACATGCACATGTTCCAAGTTAGCAGGAAGGCCAAGACCGACTTTGCATTTCCCAACTCCCATCGATAGTGGAAATATTCGATTTTTTTCATGCTTCTACGGCACTTTTCATGTAGTTTGCGGCCATTTTCTACTGGCCAGAGTGAGAGCCTATAGCTGGCTGCCACGAATAGGCAGGAAGATTCTATTGGCCAACGTGAGAGCCAACAGCTGACTGACACGAGATGTTAACTAGCATGCTAGCATAAAAAAAAAAAATCGATAGCTGCATTCGTCACAAGTGGGAAAAATTTAAATCTGCATGGCACTTTACTCCAATTGGCTCATTCGCTTGCTTAAACTCAACGTTGATTCTGATTCCGCAGAACTGGGTTGGGTGTGAAAAAGTATTTGTTGTTAAAAATTCTTTTTCATTCGGTTTTTCCAGTTACGAGTCCTTTTTTAAAGCTGATCGTTTTGTGTTCATTTTGTTTAGTTTTTTTTTCGTAACAGATTTAATGTTTAGAATAGAGCTTAGCAATAAAAAAAATTCGCAGTGTGAGATAGGCAAGAAGTAAGGCATGTAGCAATATCACTACGGCAAAGGGCACTCCTTTAAAGGCAAGGAAAGGCAAAAATATTTTAAGTCAAGTGATAGCGATTGCTGTATGAGTCGTACGATTTTGAATCAAGCACGGGCAACGCCGGGCCATGCTGATAGTTCCTTATATTCTTTACCTGGTAATTATCTTGGAAAAGGTAAGGATCAATCTATTCTCCCCTTAGTTATCGGTTCCATCTTGGTCTTAGAGACTTGGTTGGCAACCAGAAGGAAAACTCTGAAATCAAACCAACCGAAGATTGTTGAGCTGGTTCTGGCTAACTTTTTAGGAAATGCCCGTATCGCATTATAAAAGTGTGTATATAATGCGGATGGAGACAGCTAGTGAATCCAAACTTCCACTGAAACTCATACTATAAATTTGCCGGTCTAAATGAATACGACCTCTGCTACGCTGTTTTCGTTTAGGATGTGGCCAGTTCGTTTAACGGGGATGTCTCAACCGATCCCAGGTGAATTCTGCTACAATTAAAACCGTAGTGCTCCCATAAATGGCACTTAAGCGTTGTATTCGATGAATGTGCCTCCTTATTGATATGGCAGTCCCTGCTGACTGCAATGTATCTTTGAAGATATTCAAAAATCTGTCAAAATACAAGGACCTTGAAATAGAAATCTCGAAAATATGGCATATGGGAACATCAACAATCCCTGTTGTTGTTGGAGCCCTAGGACTGGTTGGAAAAGATTGCAGTAGACTAATTGAATGGATTCCTGGAAGTCCATGCCTCAAGGAGATACAAAAAATTGTTCTGACAAGTACAGCCCACACTTTTCGACGGTCTTTATCTATGTATTTTTTTTTTTTTTTTTTTTGTCAGTGGAAAGTGTCATGACGCCATTTCTAACCTTAGGTCCCTGGGCGGGACCCGGAAAGAAATGTGTAAATGCCAGAAATCAATGAAAATAATAATAATAATAATAATAATAATAATAATAATAATAATTTTTATATTTATTATAATTTTTCAGCAGCTCTGTGTGTCTCTCTCCCTCTTTCCATCACTCTATCTTCATTTTTTCTGAATTCCCTCCTCCAGGCATCCGAATATATATATATATATCCACACACACAGACACACACACACACACACACACAATATATATATATATATATATATATATATATATATATATATTGCATACGACAACTTTTAGGGAATTTGAAACGGGAGCTTGAACGTGAGTACATTGTCTCTTACGATATAAACTTAGAAAGGTAAAGTTAAACAGATTTCAAATTCAAATTAATTCATTATGCCAACGCTTCACAACTCCGTGTTTTATATTAGGCAGCTGAAGTCTTTTAGACCTGTAAGCAATCCTGTCTATTGGGCTAGAAATACAACTCTGTGAACAAAAAAAAAATCACAGTTGCTACAAATAATTATTGGGTCTCCACGGATAGGTGGAAAGAGTCATTTTTTATGTCTCGCATGACATAGGAAGTGATTTTCTTGTCAAAGCGAGAAATATTTATACATATAATAAAATTCCTGTTTGGACAAGTGTTCTTTGTCAGATTTATTGATGTTTTCTGGTTGTCATATGCACCCCAGATCAGAGAGTTGAGAGGTAGAAAAAGTGGGATAAACTTAACAAAAAAATAAGCATGTTTGTCCTAAATAATTTGGAACAGAAATGTTCCATACGTTATGTTTACTTTTAACTTCATATAGCTTTAAATGTCATTAACGTATATTTGTTTTCCCGCGTTGTGATAAGTCGATTAAGAGTTTTAAGTAAATACATCCGATTATGCTTTCAGTCCAAATCCCAACTTTCCAGGTTTCATGCGTCTGTGCGGCCTTTTGGTTGATGAATTATTTTTCACTTTTCATCCACTTTCCCACAGACAAAACGTCGCAACCCTCCTGCTATTTTATTGCTATGCTCATGGAAATGCTCTGACGAGATACATTCTTCAGATTCACCAGTTCAAACCTTCTCAAGTAAGACCCCCTCTCCCAATACCACGTACAAAGCGTTAGATAATCCTCGTTCCCTTTTGTATTCCATTAGTAAGAAGAAAGTTCCATTCGGACAGCGTCTTCTTAAGAA